GAGTTTAAACTTTTACTTGTAATACTACTAAACCTTTCCATTGACGTCTGTGCTCCGATATCACATTTATAATTTTTTGCTGAATTGATAGCATTTGAATGACTGTTATTATTGACGATTGATTGTGTGATTTTATAATGAAATATTGAGATTAACTCACTTTTCTGAAGATAGAATATCGATTTGCTATAGTCATAAGATCGACGATCAAAGATGTAATTATCTTGCTATATTTTCCTAAGTGGTTTCATTTGACTAAATAGAAGCTTCTACACAAAACAAGGAAACGAAAAGTGGGATTTCACAACGTTCTAACAAGAAGTTGAGTCAGTTTGATATATATATATACTAGTCGCATGTCCGTGCAATGCACGGGTTGTGTTATTTTTTAAGATAATATTAGTGTGTTTAGCGTTAAGGATTGATCAGAGATATGTGCATTGGATTGATTTGATAAGGTAAATTTTCATATAATGTAACTAATAAAAACTATAGTCACGATGCATCTAGAGAGCATCAGGAAATAAAATACACTTTAAAAAAGACAAAAAACAATTAGCAAACAAAATTTTAGCGTATAAAGGGACCTGAACAACATGTCATCATTTTCCAAAAGTTTAACAGTGATATTAGTAATCTTGAATGTGCACATTTTGTATAAATAAAGTTTTGAAATTTTCAATTAAGTATACAATCCTAAAATGGATCAATTAGTTTTAGTAAACATATATGCGTGCCGACATAGAGAAAGATAGAGGGAGAGGGAGAGATAACTAACAAAATCATTTAGTACCCTACAAGTATTGAGCATACTTGATATTTCATTTAAAGAGTCTAAATACAATTCATGTTCATGGGCACACGCAAAAGAATGTAACAATTGATCATGACTGGGAACCCATGAATCAATCACAAAGATTAGTTACCTGACAGTTGAATGCCCACTCTATCATCACTGTTCATGACCATGACCATAAGAACAATGTTAAATACAGATTCGCAGAGCCAACCATAAGTTGAGAATCTGTCTATAAAAAACAGTCATTCAAAACTTTATCATGCATAGAAACTATAAGCTCCTACTTTTAGATAGTTTATTTTAAAAGGCATACCTTCAACCCTTGTAACATCAATCATGAAATCAGATTGAGGCTTATGAAATGGATTAGGCATAGGCACCTCATTCAACTGTTAAAATAACAAGTTAGAATGTGTGGAACAACATAATCAGAAAAATAACATAGTTGAATTTATAAATCACTATTTCTTATTTTTTGTTGTTACCTTGGATGAACTGACAGGTAAAAGTATAAAAGGAGGTGCAAAGCCAAGCAATACTGTTGCAACAACACCGTTAGGAGTGCAAGTGAATTAGTCTACAGAAATAAAATAAAAAAACTATACTAAAAAAAAAGCTTGACTTTTTTGCAATGTCATAATGGTAAGTGACAATGTATGTAATATGATTATCTTAAATCATTAACATGAATGCATTGCCATCTATATTTTTTTATTGCTTTTCATGTGCCACATACTTTTAGGGAAAGCTGAGAATGCATTGAACAGAATTAGTTAGTGTATGAACACATGCATTTCATTTGTATAAACATGTGCTTATCACACACATACACAATCACGTGCACACGGCGCAATTTATTTATTTTTTTATTTTTTTACTTTTAAATAACTTGAAGCAAATTTTTTACTCATAAGTAACTCTTTACATTTTAGAAATATACTTAAAATTTGAAATTAATATTTTTCACTTATAAGTAGCTTTTACAATTATAACATTTTTTTTACTCTTAAATAACTTGCATGATGATAAAAATAACTAATTGGACGAAGCAAATAAATCAGGCCGAAAATTATAGAATTGGAAAAAAAAATTCATCTGACACTATACATATAGATATTTCACACAAGTAATGTACTTTATTAGAAATAATAACATCTACACGTGAGAACATTGCAGATGACAAATTATTTAAAATAAACACACATTCAATCTCAAGACAATGACTACATTTTCAAGCAAAACCTTAAACTAAGTCAAAAGCATGCATCATAAATGGAGTAGTGGGTGCATCAAATATAATATCAATCAAAAAGGCATTATTTGCAAACACTTTATGTTTCTATTCGTCGAAAGTTTAATTTTGCTTCAATTCGAAAGTATTTAGAATTAACACATAATCCTGGTTTAAATTAATATTGAACTTGGAATTGAGGATAATTCAGAGATGCGTGATGTTAAGCAAAGTTTATTCGAAAGAAAATGTGGCATCAGCGGATGGTGATTCAGCTCATTTATATTTGTTCTTTTACCTTTGAGATAATTGAGAGGCACAAGGAAGAAAATGAAGTCAACCCTCCAACAATACATGTATGTGAACATCTTCAATATTGCCTAAGAAAATAATAGACACGGATACTGATAACCTCATTTTCCTACAAGGTTCAAGAAATGCAATTTCGCATAAAGTCACAAAATTTGAGAATGGAAGTAAATCAAACGTGTACCTAATGCGAACAAAACTATACACCGTGAAAAAGAATCAAGAATTTGCAAACGAATACATATCTTAAAAGTATTATTTTATTAATTTTATGAAAGCAGTCAATTTAACCTAAATTTGATTGCAAAGGCTAATTGTCTGGATGAACAAAACATCAAATCCTCCTCTATTTCTTTAGAGAATCGGCAAGAATTTTCATGTTCATTACTTCATTCATTCTTATTAAATTCTTATATTTGTTTATTTACACATTCTAATACCCAATAACGTTGTCAATGCCTCAATTAAACACTTCAATTTCAATAAACATAGTATGGTGGCTACTCACCCTTTGGTTTGGTCACAAATTTGTAAAAAAATTTTATGCATCCCTCGCAGTTTAACTGCACTTTCAAAACCGTAGTTGTCACAACTTGTTGTAAACAAATAATTCAATATTTATTACAAATTATAACTAAAATAAAATTAATTTAAAAGTGCAAGAGTTGTAATTGTCTCGTTCTCTTTTTTAAGGTAGTGTATGATTGATATGATATATTATATTATGATCCACAAAAACGATGACTCTACTTACAACATCAATTTTTCAATCTTGAAACTCTTGCTCTAGTCCCTCAAGTGACACATCATCACTAACAAAAAAAAGGCAACAAACGCACAAAATTTAAGAAATCATTCAAAATTAACATGATTACTGTTACAACAAAATCAAAAACAAGAAAAAAAAGGTTTTTACTTGGGAGTGTCATAGAGAAGAGAACAAAGATAAAAGAACCTATAAAAATAAGAACAGTCAAACAAACATATTTTATTGAAGAAAACATTGAAAAAATTAGAATTTCTATTTTGAAGAGAAATGTGTTATTCAATGTAGAATAACAATAACAAAGCAACAAATTCACAAAATTCAAGAAATCATTCAAAATTACCATGATTGCCATTACTACAAAACTAAAAATAGAAAATAAAAAAATATTTTCACCTGGGAGCACCGTAGAGAAGAAAACGAATATAAAAGAACCTACAAGAAGGAGAACCACAAAATTAACATTTTATCGAAGAAAATATTGAAAAAATTGGAAAATTGGAAAAATTGAAATTTCTATTTCGAAGGGAAATGCATTGCTCAACATAGAACACTACGCAAATGACAGTTATCAGATTAAATAGGTTCTGAAAATGGAATGAAAAGGAAGTTCAATATGAGGCAAGCGTGTGTGTTTTGGATTTTACCTTTTTTCTTCCTCAATTCGATTTGATTGTGGTGGGAAGAGTTAATTCAAAAGACGTGTGAAATGAGAGAGAGAGAGAGAGAGAGAGCAAAAAGTAACTTTAGAGGGAAGAAATTTGTGAACAGTTGCTAAAACCAAGTGGATGAAAGTGCGAGATAAAATGGTTGAATAGTAAGAAAACCAATTTTGGAACAGTACGTAAAATCGAGTGCTACAAGAATGAATAATAATGTAAGAATTGCCCCTTTTAGAAGAAAGAAAAGAAAAGAGAAAAGAATAGTGTAAGACAAATCATTTTGACCGAACCCATTTCAAACCAATTTAATGTGAAAATGTACGGGACAAAAATGAACGCTCTAATGTGGTGCAAGCAAAAGTAATAATTTCCACCAATCCACCAAAAAAAAAAGGGGGGAAATTGTATAATAAATAGAAAAAATTTAAATTGAAATAATTTTAATCTACCAATTCACAAATAAAAAAAGATGAAAAATTTTATAAATTGAAAATATTTTTTCAAAAAAATCTCTTTTCACGAAGAGAAAAGCAGTAATGGAAAGTATTAATTTCAATCATAAATAAAGGGAAAAGAATTTAAAAAATCAAAATTCTTTTATAAATAGAAAAAATGTAAGTTGAAAAAAATTTAAAATAAAGAAAATTCCTCTTTTCATGGATAGAAAAGCAGTATTTGAACAGATTTATTTAAAACATACATAAAGACAAAAGAAGTTAAAAAAATTATATATTTTAAAAAAAATTATGTTCCATGCATGGAGTGCGCGCATACACACACACACACACACTCTTTTTATTTTAGTAATTTTTTGTTATTAATATTTTAATTTAAAATATCTAATTTGCAATAATTAAATATATCTATACATTTACCCTAAAATGTTGAAGCTTTTTTTTTACATATAAGTAGCTTTTATTTTTAAATAGGTGGAAGTATTTTTTTTTTTCACTTATAAGACTT